CAGTGGATCTGACAAAGCCTTGACCCCCTCTGTGCCTCCAGCTCAGCAACCGGCTTTTTGAGGAACTTGCCATGGACGTGTATGATGAGGTGGATCGCAGAGAAAATGACGCTGGTGAGCTGGGACAGAGTAACTACCCGCTAGAGAAGGCTAGGACCTGGGGTGGCTCTCGGGTACTTTGGTCGAAACTAAGAAGGGGGGCCTGGGTTGGTCTGCTCGGCAGGCCTGTGTAAGCCTCTGCCAGCTGTGAGCCCGCCTGGGCAGCTTCCCCAGCTGGGCAGAGTGTGCTGAGTTGGAGGCAGCCAGCCTGCTCCTCCTACCCCCCCAACCCCCCACTGGGGCTCATCCCTGCTCTAGCTGCCTCCCACTTTGGCTCTCGCCCCAGTCCTGCTCCGCCCCCTGCACCCCGCTCCCTCCCCCCCTCCCCATCACTCCTTCCTGGCCACAGCCAGATTCCAGCCCAAACTCGGCTGGGCCTGGCGAGAGGGAGTAGTCTTGTTCTGTGTCCGTCTCCAGCTGGCTTTGCCCCGTGCCTTGTCTGAAGACCACCCCTGTTTTGGTCACCAAGCTCTGTGGGCCTGGGGAGGAGCTAGGAAAGCTGTGCTAAGCGCTCTCTCCCACCCCAACCCATGGCCCTGGCCACCCTGGACAATCTGCACCATGGGCCTCCCCCACAGTATGGCTGGCTACCCAGAACCACATTTACCCTGGTGACAGAGCGCAGTGCTGTGCCCTTCCTGCCTGTTAACCCTGAGTACTCAGCCACGCGGAACCAGGTAAGGAGGCTTGGTGGGGGGCCTTCCAGGGGTCGCCAGCTCTGTGGCCCTGCCTTCCTCACCAGCTATTGTCTGGGCCTGGGCCCGGGCCTGCTCTTCTCCACCCCTGCCCGAGGCCTCCCTTGGCCCGGCTGGCACTGCGACTGGGCGTGGGGAAGAAGCTGTTCTTTTGAGCACTTGGTGAGCAGCTTCGGGGGTGGGTTGCAGCCTCTCCTGCGAGCTCCCCTAGGCACCCTGAGCCTGTGCCATCCCTCACCCCCTGCCCTGGCCAGGAGAGCCGGCTGCGATGTTTTAGCTGTGGCTAAAGCGGGTAGCTGATGGCAGGTCGCAGCAGCCCCGTCATGCCAGCCTGGCTCTTTCTGCCTCACAGGGGCGTCAGAAGTTGGCCCGATTTAATGCCCGAGAGTTTGCCACCTTGATCATCGACATTCTCAGCGAGGCCAAGCGGAGACAGCAGGGCAAGAGCCTGAGCAGCCCTACAGGTGGGGAGGGCGAGGGTGGAGCTGTGGGGGACGGGCACGGCTCCAGGATATTCTCTTTCATGGCTCCCTTCGGGGGTTGCATGATAGACGGGTGGTGTGGCTGAGCCCTGAGTGACAGGCCTGTGCCCTCAGACAACCTCGAGCTGTCTGTGCGGAGCCAGAGTGACCTCGACGACCAGCACGACTACGACAGCGTGGCCTCGGACGAGGACACCGACCAGGAGCCTCTGCGCAGCGCCGGCGCCACGCGGAACAACCGTGCTCGGGTCTGAGCGCAGCCCCTCCCGCCCCTCCCGGCCTCCATCAGGCCCAGCTCCATCCTCTGGTCGCCCAGGGCCTCGGGGACGAGTGGGCTGGTCACAGCTTGGAGAGCAGCCCTCCGTCCTGTCCCTGGCGGCTGACCGGCTTCTGTCTCACCTCACAGAGCATGGATTCCTCAGACCTGTCTGACGGGGCCGTGACGCTGCAGGAGTACCTGGAGCTCAAGAAGGCCCTGGCTACCTCCGAGGCCAAGGTGCAGCAGCTCATGAAGGTCAACAGTAGCTTGAGTGACGAGCTCCGGAGGCTGCAGAGGGAGGTGAGGGCGTGGGGGCTCCAGTGGGGAGGTGGGGTGCTGCCTGGACCCTCTGGAGTTTCTGACACCCCTCCACTCTCAGATCCACAAGCTGCAGGCGGAGAACTTGCAGATCCGGCAGCCGCCAGAGCCTGTGCCCACGCCCCCCCTCCCCAGCGAACGGGCAGAACACTCATCCATGGGGCCTGGTGGGAGTGCCCACCGCAGAGACCGCCAGGCCTTCTCCATGTATGAACCAGGCTCGGCCCTGAAGCCCTTTGGGGGCCCCCCTGGGGACGAGCTCGCCACCCGGCTGCAGCCTTTCCACAGCACTGTGAGTTGCCGGCTCAAGGTGGTGGGGACGCAGGGCTGATCCGTCACAGGGCCCTCTGTGACACCTACTGTGCTAACCCCCAGGAGCTGGAGGATGACGCCATTTATTCAGTGCACGGCCCTGCCGGCCTTTACCGGGTAAGCAGGCCGGGGCAAGTGGGTCCGTGTCTGCAAATAGGTTCTGAGCCCCAGTGGGTGCCAGGCTTTGTGCTGGAGGCTGGGCACAGGCTGATGAGACACACACAGTTCCTACCCGCCATGCAGGGAAGCTGGGAGGTGGGTCACAGGGAGGAGAGACTGACTCCAGCCGTCCTGGGTTTTAGATCCGGAAGGGGGTTTCAGCCTCAGCTGTGCCCTTCACTCCCCCCTCCCCACTGCTGTCGTGCTCCCAGGAAGGAAGCCGCCACACGGTAACGTCTCCTCCCTGTGCCTAAGGGACGGCTGCATGGGATGTGTGGCGGGTGGGGCTGTGAATTTCTCTCACCTACTGCCCTGTCCTGCGTCCTCCAGAGCAAACTTTCCCGCCACGGCAGCGGTGCCGACAGCGACTATGAAAACACGCAAAGTGGGGACCCCCTGCTAGGGTGAGGCACCCGGCAGAGGGAGGTCAGGTGGGTCCTGGAGCGGCTGAGGGCACAGGCAAGAGGCCTCCTGGCTAGAACGTCTCTTTCTGTCCCCGCGCCCCAGACTGGAAGGGAAGCGGTTTCTAGAGCTGGGCAAGGAGGAGGACTTCCACCCAGAGCTGGAAAGCCTGGATGGAGACCTGGACCCCGGGCTTCCCAGCACAGAGGACGTCATCCTGAAGACAGAGCAGGTCACCAAGAACATTCAGGAATTGTTGCGGGCTGCCCAGGAATTCAAGCATGACAGGTATGGGGTGGGGCTCCAGCGCCTATGGCCTGTGGGTGTTGCTGAGGGCAAGAGTGGGGCCGGTGTTCCAGTCCCTGGCAGCCTTCCCTCAGAGCCCCTAATGCCTACCCTCCCCCACAGCTTTGTGCCCTGTTCAGAGAAGATCCATTTGGCTGTGACTGAGATGGCCTCTCTCTTCCCAAAGGTACAGGGCCAGAGAGGAGCAGGACTGGGAGGGCCTCGGGGTGGGGCAGGTGTGGACACCCCGGGCCCTGACCAGTACTCACGGCTTGAAGCCTGAGGCCCCTCTCTCTCCTCCCTCCAGAGACCAGCCCTGGAGCCCGTGCGCAGCTCCCTGCGGCTGCTCAACGCCAGCGCCTACCGGCTGCAGAGCGAGTGCCGGAAGACAGTGCCTCCGGAGCCCGGCGCTCCCGTGGACTTCCAGCTGCTGACTCAGCAGGTGATCCAGTGCGCCTATGACATTGCCAAGGCTGCCAAGCAGCTGGGTCACCATCACCACCCGAGAGAAGAAGCAGTGACCACTCTCCCTACACCCTCACCTACACCCTGGGACCTCACTGGCCATGGGAGATGGGCCACTCCAGACACTAATCCCCGCCCCAGCAGCCGCTGGCACCAAGTGCCCTTAGTGCTGCCACTCTCCCCTGGCAGCCAGGCACCCTGGTGCCCGCCCCCCTCCAGCCCCGAAGGATGGGGAGGTGGGGTGGCAGGAGCTCCTGTCCCCCACATTCCACGCACCTCCCCCTGTACATAGCGTCCCCTCCCCTTCTAGCCTGCAGGGGCCTGTAAGGCATCACTCCCAGCCCCTTGCCCTCCAGGGCACCCTCCGCAGGGGGTCTGGTGGGGACACTCCAAGTGGGGCGGTTCCCCTCACATGCATCCCACCCCCATGAGCCAGTTCAGCCCTGTTGGGGGCTGAGTGGGGGCACCCCTTCCTTTGTACATAATCTGTGGATGTCCCCATCCTGTAGCCACCAGCCCCCATGCTGCTCTCCTTCAATGCCAAACGGCCCCACCTGTGTCCCGGGGTCCCCAGCAGCAAACACTGGAAATCTTTTTCTTCTTTTCTCTTTCCACCCCTTAATTTTAACGTCGTGGTAACTAAGTGTCCCTGTGTGAGTGTACGGGGCGGCAGTGCCGTTCCAGAGGCCTGGTCCATGTGGAGTTTTGTGAGGGTGAGGGGACCAGAGCAGCAGGACCAGTGTGGGGGGTCAGCCCTTCTCACCACCCTGGGGCCAGGGGCTGCCAGAGTAACCAACTGGGGTCCTGCCCACTGCCTCCCCTCATCACTCCCACCACTCGTACCCCTTTCTCTATAAACTTAAATGAAAACCACTCCCCTCCATCTGCCCTCCCTTTCCCTGTGGAGGGGGAGTGTGCTGGCTGGGGCAGAGAACTGAGCGCCTGAGCCTGGGGCTGGCTCCCCAGGGTCCCCGACTCAGCCAAGAGGCCCCTCCCTATAACCTCTGAGAGGCTAGCACCTGTGCCTGTGGTGTCTGGGGACCTGGACCTGGGCTGCGGCCTGGGAGGCTGGAGAGGCAGATGGCCGCGCCCACCAGCTCCCCTCCCGTCCTGCCTCTGCCCCAGGGCCGGGCTCTACCTGTATGGTGGTGGGTGGGCTGACTGTCAAGATGTGTATCATGTACATTTGTATCAAAAATAAATAAGTGATCATGTGCTGTTTCTGATGCTGAGACTTGAGGGCAGGGGCTGGGGAGATGGCAAACATGAAAGGGAGAAAGGTGTCAGGTGTGAAGCAAATGCACACAGCGCCGCCTCACTGAGGGGGCTGGGAAGTAAGTGCAGTAAGTACCACCACCATCCCGCTCACAGCGGTGGGAGGGGTTCCCTCCTCAAACCCTGCCTCTAAGGCCCCGTTGGCAGCGCCCAATTTTATAAAATCCCCACCTCACACACAACCTAAATGGCCTAGGACAGTGTCACGGGTGGGAGTATGTCTCTATGGCAGATGTACAAACTCAATGCAAGATTCTACTAAAATAATTTAGTTAAAAATACAGAGTTTTGGCAAAGGAGGCTACAACAGCTCCTTTTTCTTCCTTGGGCCACCCTTCCCCACAAACACCACATTAAGAACTAACCCTTCTGCAAATGCTCCATCCGGCCACCAGAGGGCGGCCCTGCGCGTGGTCCACGTGGCAGAGGTCGCGGCCTCCCCGGGGGAGGAGGGGCAAAACCTGCCACAGTGGCAGGGCCGGGGCAGGTCAGTCGGAGCTGTCCCCATCTGGGCCGCTGTCCTGCGTGGGTGGGAGGAGGGGTCTCCGGCGTGAGCGCTTGACCCGACGCGGGGGCATCAGCAGCCGCCTCTTCAGCACAGCTGTGGGCGGGTGGGAAGCAGTCAGGGGCAGGGAAGCCATGGGGCGGGGCGGGGCGGGGCTAGGGATGGGTGAGGAAGGGAACGTCTCACCGGCCACAGTGTCCTGGCTGTCCGCCACGGGCCCCCAGTAGATGCTCTCCCCGCGTCGGAAGTTCCGGTGCAGCCGAGTGCAGAGTGTGGCCAGGGTGAGCAGCACCAACAGAAAGGTCAGGGCCATGGCAGCCCAGGCAGCTTCCTCCGTGCGTGGGGTGGGGCCCCGGGCTGCCCGCGGAGGTGCTGCTGCCCGAGCGGCTGGGGAAGCCTGGCTTGGACAGGCACAGCCACCTGGGCTGCTCTGCCCTTTGGGCACCTGGGCCTCTATCCTGGAGCTGGCACTGCCTCGAGGCCCCCCAGGTAGCAGGGGGGCAGTGGGCACAAATGGAGCATTACCCCCTTCACCTGGGGTTCCTAGCTTGGGCTTCCTGGTCTCCACGCTCCATGGGGAAGCAGAGGGGAACCTCGGGGCTGAGGAAGTAGGCTGGAGACCAAGAGCAGCCCGCAGCCCACGCCTCTTGGCACCACCAGGAGAGTGCTGCCTGGGCCCTCTAGACACCACCTCTGGGCCTGGGGGCCGCCAGCTCCGCAGAGTAAAGGCCAAAGCTGGGGCCTAGGGGAGAAGAGACAGCACTCATCCTCTCTCCCCCCAGGTAACCCCATGACCACACCACCAACCACGCTGGGCCCCACTCCTCACCTGCACACACCCTCTCCGGCACAGCCTCCCTCTGTCCGGCGTTCGTGCCCAGGGAGAGGGCCCAGAAAGGCTGTCAGAGAGGAACTGTGCCTTCTTCCTCTGCCTCTTCCACCGCCTTCGCTTCAGCAAGTGGGCAGCCCAGGCTGGCTCCACCCATGCCATCTCCAGCACCACCCCCCATGCTTCCAACACCAGGGGCTATGAAAGAAGGCAATTGTTAGAGAAGAGCTAACATGAAGGTGGGGAAGGAACAAGAGGAAGCCCCCAATGTCCCTTTTCCTGCACACGGAGCTGCAGCCGCTGCCAGTGTCAGACAATTGACTTTCACCAACCACTTACCCGGTCCTGAGTGAGGCTGGAGTCAGGGGCCAGGGAGGGCTGGGCCACATGGACGTGGGCCAGGAGGACCAGCTGGAGCTTCAGCCAGGGGTGGGCACAGGGATGGTAGAGGAAGCTGACATCTTCTGCCTGGAGGAAAGGCACAGATATAGCCAGCCAGGCCCAGGCCTTCTGTGAGAGCCCCACGTTCTCCCATCCTGGCGCCAGGTTAAAGGGACTCCCAGGATGGCACATGGCCCTTCTACCAGGAGGGCTCAGGAAAGGAAAAAGGACCCTGGGTAGTGGCACGCACTCCCTCATGCCTCTGAGCATTCCTTTCACCCCTCCTCCATCAAGTGCCACCCCTCAAAGCTCACAGCCTCCATGACAGCGTGCCTGGGTATCCCAGTCAGACTCCGACCACACTCTTTAGCTGTGTTTCTCTGCACCTGCAATGACGGTCCTACAGGTCCCCAGTCTAGACTGTAAGCATCCCCTCTATGGAGACCAAGTCTTCTTTTCATTGATCCTATCTACATAGTCAGTCTCCCAAAGGCATCCAAGTACAGGGCACACGGGCAGCAGGTGCACAATCCCAAGATGGAAACACTTGATCAATTATTAATATACTTCGATTGAGCTGACCTGATGCTCAGCACTGTGCCAGGTGCTGTAGGAGATGCCAAAAGAGAACTCCCGGACTCCACTTGCAGGGAAAGTAAAGGAAACTCGGGGAAACAGAACTAATGCAAATGAAAGAGCAAACTACTAAAATTCAAACTGGCTAGTTGCTAAGTGATAAGATTTAAGTTATAAGCATTACGCAAATTTAGAGAAGGTGATGGCCAAGGGCTGATGTGATCGGCACGGTCTCATGGGAGAGCGGACTCCTGCACTGGGCTTTGAAGGCGGATGCGTCCGGATGGTGGGTGGCCAGGAAGCTCCCTGCGTCAGCCTCAGGTCAGGACAGGACAGGGAGTGGAGAATGCACTGTATGTGTGCGCCCGCACATGGTATTTTGTGGAAGAGCCACATTGAAGGGGCCAAAGAGCCGCATGTGGCTTGCGAGCCACAGTTTGCCGACCACGGCACTGGAGCAAAGGTAGAGCCATGGGAATGAGCTTGGCACTCACATGTGTGGTAGGTGAGCCACAGATTAGGTGAGGTCAGACAAGGCTTAATGAACTAGGTCGGGCCTGAAAAGCCGGGCAAGGGAGTGCGGTCATGATAAGGTGGGAAATAAGGAGCCATCAAAGGCTTCTGAACAGCAAAATGATTTCATGAAAGGGATGTTTGAGGAAAGGAATCAGGTAGGTGGAATGAGGTCTCTTGGCCTGGAACTATCACAAGGATAAAAAAAAAGTGAGATTTTTCAAAAGGAAAACCAAAGGGATATGGAAGCTATCTGGCCTCTGGCAAAAACAGAGGCAGCCATGCAAGGCGAACCCACGGTTTGGAGCCCGGTAATCGGAGGCACGCTCCTGACAAAATACAGCTTTGTACTTTGCAAAGTGCTGCCATACACTATTCATTTGCTCCTCGTGGGCAGGGGCGTTACTGATATCCTCTCTTAGAGAAAACCGGGGCCCAGAGAAGCCAGGAGACTTCCCACAGTCACACAGCACATCTGGAGCACGAGCTGTTGTTTTTCCTCCTATCATCCTGCCCACACAGCCAGCCACTCAACAGCATTCCTTGCAGACAGGCCTGGGGCTCATCGTCCGGACTAAGCACATTGCCTCTTGCTGAGGGAAGTGGTAACAAACGGAGATGATGAGCAGAAAAGGCAGAGAACGCTGCAAGTGCAGACACCTGGATGGCTCCTGATAGTGCTCACCTGCCGTGGGCTCCTCCGTGTGTAAGTCACTCTCGGTGACACCTACATGTGGGGAAAGAAGAGCGCTTAGAGCAGCTGGGAGGCCCTGTGTGGGGCGTGGGGAGGGGACAGTAAGCCCCAAGCCTCCAGGTTGGGATGAAGACATTGGCGACTGAGGGATGGAGGAACCGGCAGGTCCTTCCGAGGGTGACTGGAGGTGCAGAGGGGCCAGAGCGGGACTGGCTACCCCTTCACACCCTCCCTCACGTCGCCCTCCAGGCTCCTACCTGTTGGGGCAGAGGCCACAGGCCCCCCGGGCAACGGGCTCCCGCCTCCTCGGCCGGCTCAGCCATCACCTGTGGGTCCAAGGCGCAGAAGAGCTGGGGCGCTGGCCTCAGCGAGGGCCCTGCCCTCTCCCAACCCAGGCCCTGCCCGCCAGGGGAGGACTCCTAGTCCTCTCTCCGCGCGCTCCTCCTTCCAGGACGAACTTTCGGCGAAGAGCTCTGAGCCTTCTCAGGGGCGGGTCGCCTTACCTCCATGGGACGCAGGAGCCCCGCCAGGGCTGCCAGGAGGAGCAGCTGGGGCGAAGGCGGAGGAGGCGCCATCCCAGATCCGGCCCGCCGCCCGCTCGGGAGGGAGGGAGCGCGCGCAGCCCCGCCCCACCTCGCGCGCCCCCGAAGATCCCGAGCTCGAGCTCGACTGTCCGGTAATTAATTTCCACCCACTCCCT